GATCCCAGTGGCCACAGAGGCAGCCAGGCTAGACCAAGAAGGGAGGGACTTGGCACAGGAGTTACAGGGTGGCGAGAGGGAGAGGAAGGGAATGAGGAGGGAGGAAGGTGAAACAGGAGGGTCAGAAACGGGGCAGCACTTTGCTGCCGCCTCCCCGGCACCCAACACATCCACGGGGCCCTGGACTCAGCCCCTGGAAGGGAAAGACACTGCTCCCCTGAGTGCTGAAGCAGCCTGAGGTCAGCCCTGCCCAGCTCCCCCTCCTCTTCTCCCCTTCCATCAGCCTCTGTGGATTGCCTGAGCAGCCGAGACCCTGATGTCTTCCGTGCCAGGCCAAAGGCTGGCCCTCGGTCTCCAATCCTCAGCCTAGCTTAGGTCCCTCACCTGGATCCAGGTGGTTGCCAAGCATGGCTCAGAAGCTCCGAGGGCTCACTTCCAGCCTGGGGACGTGAGAGCAGGCATCCATGTCACTTCTCGGGCAGGCCTCCCCTGGCCTCCCTGTCTAAGGAAGTCCCCCCTTGTTATTCTCTGTTGCTGCGCCCGGTTCATTTCCTTCTTAGGGTTCATCACAATGGGTAACTAGATGTATCTACTCATTTCTTGACTTGCTTACTTGTCTTACCGTCTCCGCCACTAGAGTGGAAGTTCCCTGAGGTCAGACGCCCTGCCAATGAGATCACTGTGTATCTGTGCCCGGGACCTGGCATACAGCAAGTCTCAGTAAGCACCCAATGAGTAAATAAATAGCTGAATGCTTGGCACAGCAAAGGGGGCCTTCTGGTTGCCAATGTCACTTTTAGGATTGATGAGCCACAGGTCCAGGATTACCCCAGGGAGAAGGAAGCAGGATGTAACAGGAAAAGCAAGGTCAGGAAGCCCAGGACCCCAGGGAAAAGGTCAAGGCCAGCAAGCATCCACTCCAGTTCCGTCTGGTCCACAGTGTCATGCTGAGTGTGGACATGTACACAATCGCACACCCAGAGGACACATGGGTGAGTCCTGGACTGGTGTTGAAAGGCTTGGATTTTGTCCTGGTTCTTATCTTACTATCCTTGTGTCCTGGGACAAACCACATACCTTCTGCGGGTCTGTTTCCTCAAAGGAAAAACTGAAGAGGTGGGCCCAGACCAGCAGTCCTCAAAGACGGCTTGGCACCAGATCACCTGAAGCACATGTCAAAATCCAGGCTCCCAGGCCCCACCCCTGCAGAGTTTGAGTCTGGAATGGGGCCTGAGGATCTGTATTTTGAATACATTCCCAGGTATTGAAATGTACCTGGAATTGGAAATGTCTTAGGAAGCCAAAACGGGGAGGGAGGTGTCAGATTTAAGGACTCCTAATACTCAGACTACTAAGGAAAGGGTTGTCTGGGGGTACTTTCCTGCAGTTCCAAGTGGTCCTGAACTCTAAAGCAAGCGGCCTGGGAACCAGCATTTGAAGAGAGATGAGCATGCTTTCCAGCAAGTACCTGGACTTCAAAAAAAAAAGCCATTCCTGCACAGGCATACATCCCCTCCAAATACATCCATCCACCCCACGCAGAGCCATGAGTGCAAAGGTGCACAACTCTAGAGACCACACACATCCACACTACGTGTGTGCGTCTTCCCCAGACACCCAACAAAGAGCCACCACATGGATTGCAAATTGCCATGGAATCACCACCTCTACACACAAGCCTAGGGGCACACGTGCAGACCTCCCACCACTCACTCAGTGTGCATACACACCCATCACGTGTAGATCCACATGAAACTGACACTATCCTGAATTTATTCGGCCTCTGGGAACTGGTGCAGGACCAAAGGAGCTATGCTCTGCTGATGAAAACATCTTTCCCGCCTCTGCCACTCCGCCCCCCCGCCTTTGCCCCAGGCAGCATGGTGTCCAGTTCCTTTCACAGGGGGAGAGCTGGAGGACAGTGGAGGGATGGAATGAGGAGAGGCACAGAACCTCCTACCCCAAAAGTCCAGCAAAACGTCTCTTCTGCTTCCCCCACCAGGAGGTGCAAAAGGGCCTCCACCCAGCCCAGCCCCCCACCCCCGTGCTCACTTACTTGCCTAAGATTCCCAAGCCCTGGTCCCCAGGAGCCAAAATGGTAAGGGAGGCGGCCAGATTTAAGGACTCCTCCTAATACTCAGACCACTAAGGAAAGGGCTGTCTGGGGGCACTTTCCTGCAGTTACAAGGCCTGGGTCCCCCTGGGAAGGTTGCCACAGAAACAGGGGGAAATATCACAGGGAAACACAATACCCGGCAGGGTCACCTGCTGACCAGGCTTCCTGCTGTGTTGCCCACCGCCGCCCCGCCTCCCCATCTCATTGCCCTCTTGGCCTCCTTCTCTGGCCTTCCCCGGGGCCTCCTCACCAAAGCTCTCCTTCCTGCCTCCCCTGCCTTATGCAGAAAACTCTGCTCCTTTTGGTTCCAAACAACATCAGGGATGGCCCAGAGCTCAGTCCCCCACTCCTAATCCTACCAGCGCCCCCACCACAGGAAATCAAAGCTTCCTGCCCCAGAGGAAGTGCCCCATCTAGTGAACAAATCCAACACAGAAACGACAGTCTCAGAGCCTTGGGAAGACAGATGCCAGCTCCTCACCCCAGCCCTGCTTCCAGCAGTACCCCTCACCCCACCACAGGCTGGTCTCAGGTCTGCCTAAGGACAGGGCAGGCCAAGGCGTGACGAGGGCATGGGTGGGACCTGAGCCAGGCCGGGGAGGAGAAGGCCAGGAGAATGGGCACTGGCAGAGTTAGAAGGTCTGGTCCTGGCCCCGCTTGGCCTGCCATTCCCTGGCTGGGTGATCCTGGGCCTTACCTTAGCTTATCTTCTCTCAGACCCCTGACAACTTCAAAATTACCAGCTCTTAAAACGAAAGGCAAAGAAGTGAGGAGGTTACGCAGGCTTCTGCCTTGGACAAGGACGCCTGCAGCCCCAGGAAGGTACCCACTCCCCACATCCGTCACACGTGAGATTCTCATTTCCAAGGGCTTTCTATCCAGATTGAGGGGAGGATGGTGGAAAAGAAAGTTTCAACTCTCATTCCCAGAAAAGAATGAAAGCTGGGGTCCACTATTACCGAAGGAAATGGGGGCTATAACAGCTCCCATCCTGGACACCAGTCCATCTCCTATTGTCAGCCTCTCCTCTGTGGTCATTTTATTGATGGGGAAACTGAGCTTCAGTGTCAAAGTGGAGTGACCAGTTTAGATTCTGGGAACAGTCAGTGCAAGACCTGAATGCAACCTTCCCAGCCGCAGGATAACAGCTTAAGACTTGGTGGCCAGAGACACCCACCCCTGGGCTCAGGCTAAGGAAGACAGAGGCCTCAGGAGAACACTGCCCCAGGGCCATTCTAGGCATAATACCAAGAAGCAGCTCTAAGCCTGGCCTTAGTGGGGTCCAGAAACATCATGGGACTAAAGGCCAAGGAAGAGTCCCAGCGGGTCCCAGACCTCGTTCCAGTTCAGGTTCACCGGGAACACCACAGCGAGACTGCTTGTGCCTTTGTTTCCCCAGAAGTGACTCCACAGAAGAGTAACATTACTTCTTAATTCAGTGGGTAAAGGGAACAGACACAAGAAAGTAGGGAGGTTGAGATGCTGAGCAATGAGCTCTGCAAGAGGTCTTGCAGAGGCTGCAGAAGGAGCTTCCAAGAGGGTTGGTATGAGGAGTGTGGCTGCCCAAGCCACTTGGAGGACCTGACCTACCGGGTCCTACAGGGCAGAAATGGGCCACTGCTAAGGGGCAGGGAAACCGAGTCACAGTCTCCTTTCTTTCAACCCAGTGGCTGGGCAGGGGTCTTGAGGAAAGTCCTCATCAACCCAGGTGCATGTCCAGGGAATAGGATGATGAATCCAGATGCTGAGTCCCCAGCAGGGCCACTGAAACTGGCAGGCAGAGCTGGGCCTCAAGCAGATGCTGAATGAGGGTGTGGCGTGGGATGGGCAGCAGCAGGACAGTCAGTGTCCAGACACAGGGGGAGGCCTCTGGGGTACACAAGACCGCCAGCAGGGACAGGGAATGGCCTGGACTGGGTGGGAGGAGCTCCAGTGGCCGGCCAGGTCAGATCCGAAAGGGTAGCTTGGGCAGCAGGAGAGAAGGAAATGGGGGTGGGGGTGCTGGCTGGCCTGCAAGTCCCAGAGGTCTTTCTCTTAGTTCACAGGCCCAGAATCAGAGCCCAGCCCAGCTGCCGGGTTTGCCGCCTACTCTCACTCCCCAGGACCAACAGACCCCAGGTTTGGGGGGCACACATCCTGTCCCCCACCGCTCAGGACACAGCCTGCGGTCCCCATCTTCCCGCGCCCCGCCAGCACCTCCACAGCTCACTTGAGCACAGGTGTCTCTTCACCCAGATGGGTGAGCAGGGGGTGGGGGGGGCGCGGAAGTGGGGGGGGGCGTTGCTCAGAGAAACCTCGCTGTCAGAGACCCTCCCTCCCAGGGATCACTTTCTCCAGCGGAGGGGTCGGAGTAAAGTCCAGCCGGGATCCGCGGGCTGGGGGCGCTGATGTTCGGGGCTCACAGTGTGGCCCCAACTCAACGGGTCCTGCCCTTTGCCCAGCGCTTCCAAACCTTCCGCCCGGGAGCACCGCCCCCTCCCGGGGCCGCGGCGGCCGTCCCTCCCTCCAGGGTCCCCCGGTCAGTCCTCCCCGCGAATGGGGGTGATGGGACGCCGGGCCCGCGCACCGGCGGCCCGGGGCCTCCAACTCCCTCCCTCGGGCCTGTCGCTGCCCCGGGGCGGGCGGATGTGGGCGCCCCGCAGGAGGCCCTTAACCCTCCGGCCCCGGAACCAGCCCGGGCCGGGAGCCTGCCAGAGCCCCGCAGAGCCGGGCGACACGGGGACGGTCGCGGGGGCGCACGCCAGGCTGGGCCCGCGGGGCCGCCTGGAGCCCCGCGCGGGAGCCGGAGCCCGAGCCCAAGCCCGAGCCCAAGCCCGGGCGGGCGGCGCTGGGTGCCGCGCGCAGGGCGGGGCAGCCGGGCGGGGGGCGGCAGCCCAGTACTCACCAGCGCCGGGGCTGTGCATCCAGGGGCCGGGGCCCTCAGAGCGGGGGGCTCATGGCGGGGCGGGGGGCTGGGGCGCCGGCCTCACATCCCCCCCGGTCGCCGGAGGCTGCGGAGCGACTGTGAGACGGCGAGAGGAAGGGAGGGGGCCGGGAGGGGGAGGGCCCTGGCAGCCCGGCCGGCCGGGTAGGATGACAATGGAAGGAAATGCTTTATCTGAGTCTGAGAGCGGGCCAAGGGGGAGGGGAGGGAGGGGGCAGGCGCTCGCGGCCCGGGGACACACCACCCGGCAGACACGGCGCGGCGCCCGGGCTGGCGGACGGGCGGGCGGACACCCCGCGCGGCCGGATCGCGGGGAGGCAGCGCCGAACCCGGAACGCGGGGGACGCGGCCCCGACCCGCGCGCGGCCGCCGCGCTGCAGCCCAAGTCCCGGCCGCCGCGCGGCGCAGCGACCCGCGCACAATTCCCGGAAACCCAGATACCTGAGCGCACGCACCCTCGCGGGCGGCCGGGGCCGCGAGCACACATCCATGTTGGCCCGGGGCAGAGTCGTCTACACAGACACGCCGCAGGGAGGGACCCCCGCGCTCACAGGCACCAGCTTGCACGGCCCACCAGCCAGCAGTTAACCGGGGAGGGGGGGGGAGGCCGCGGGACGCGCGTGGAGTCCTCGGTCCCGGCGAGGAATCCCAGACGGACACCCCCGACCCCGCCCCAAGCACAACGTGCCTGAGGAAAGTTCCAGGATCTGATTTGAATCACTGCCCAGCCCTCCCCCTCTGCCATGCCCCCCCCGCCCCCCCCCCCGCCCCGTGCCTGCTGAGGGGAATAGAAGGGTCCAGCCTGTTCCTATTAAAAGAAAAAGGGGGTGGGGTGGTGAGGATTTTGAAAGTTTTCTTTTTTTAAAGAAATTTCTCAAGGGATTTCCTTCCCTCCTCTCCTCTTCCTCTCTTCCTCCCATTCCTCTCCCCCCACCACCCTCCCCCCCCCCCACTTTCCCCCTCCCGGTCCCTATGAGTCAAACTTCAGCAATGTGCCCAGTGTCTCCCAGTGCATTACAGCGGATCATAGAAATGTTCCAGTCTGTGAGTCGGAATGTAGCCGCCTCCAGCCCTCCCTCAGCTAATAAACTCAGCTCCGGGCTGGCTTTGCACAGCAGCCCTCGCTGCCCCGGCTCCCTGTTAGCAAGACCAGAAGGTCAGGGTCAGGGGTCAGGGGCTGAGGACCTCTCCATTGTGCTTCCCGGCCTGGTCTGTCAGCCCTGTGCCTCTGGCAATCTGCTGGGTCAGAGACACAGCTAAGTGGAGAAGTCTACAGGAAACGCTGGTCTCTCCCTGATGGTGGAGGGCTCACCCCTGGCAGGCAGAGAGCATCTTCCCTCTGACCCCATCCTGCTTCCCTCCATCCTGGGAAGACTGGAGTCCCACGATGCTAGAGCAAAAGAAGAAATTGAGGCTGAGCCAGAGACGTGTCAGATTAGAAACAACTGTCCCAGGGGCCTAGGAGAGCTTGGCCATGCTGAGGTCCAACATCTGACCATGGCCTCCCTGTTCCTGCAAACTTGGCTCCAGTCTCCCCACCTGTTGCTCCTGCTTCCTACCTCAGGCCGTTTTGTGTTCCCAGCACTCACAAAGCAGGCAGATCTCACCCCTCTGCACTTGTTCACTTATCCTCACAGACCCCTTTCCCAGCATGAAGGCCTCCTACAACATGGCACCACACATCTCTCTCTCTCTTCCCTCCCCTTCCACTGTTCTGCTCAGGGCCTGGAGATACTTAGTCCTCAGTACTTAGATGCTAGGACTAAGAACTTAGATGTTATTTTGCTATTATTACTATTATTAATATTTCAGCCAAACTGGGCTACTGGCTGTCCCCCTCATGTCCTCATGCTCTCCCATTCCCCTACTTTGGTTCATGCCCGCTCCCTCCAAAAACGAATGTCCTACCTCCCCCCTCTCTCCTGTTAAAATCTGTCTAATCCTCAAGGTCTATCCCACCTTCTCCAGGAGCCTTTCCCTGATTCCCATAGCCAGAGGGATTCTTTCTTCTCCTTGAAGGACTCCGCTCCAGCATCTTGTCAGTCTTCCTCTGTACTTTGACCTTCACCCACTTGCATCCTTGTCTCAGCTCTCTCCTCCTTCGCAAGAATGTTCCAGAGTGGATGTCCCCTGAGCCTAGCTACTGCCTTAGTCAGGGGTACGTTCCTTGTAGTGTCTTGCTGAGTGCCTTGCACAGAATTCAGGCTCCCTCTGGGTCATTTTTGGAATTGGAACAGATTCATGGACTTCAAGGACCATCCCCCAGCTGAACAACTTCAGTATATCTTTTCTCTCAGGACTCCCCACTAAAGACACATGTTCTTCCGCCTCAGGTGTGTTTTTCCCAGCCCTTGCTTCCAAACCAAATCCCTCTCTGTGCCCATGGCCTCCATACCCACAGCCTCCAGAAAAATTGCTTGGTTGCTTCAGATGCTCAGCCTCTCCCCTGCTGTCTGTCTCCTTTAGCCTCACAATGCTCCCTCCTGACACCCCCCCCAGGACTCCTGTAGTTATTTCTGGACTGAAATCAGGCCCTTGTTTGCTCATTTCTACCATGTGCATCATTCATGTATTTGTTTATGAGTTTTCTTTTTCTTTTTAACCTAACCACTGAGTTCTAAGAGATTTGAGCACAAAGGTTATCTCCTTTCACCCTCTGCCTGTCCCCTCGGTACTCCGCACATGGCTTTCTACACACACCAGAATTCCCTGCCTGAAGTCAAGGCAGAGAGAAAGACAGCAGGTGAGTCCTACATCCAGGAGCCGGACTGTGCCACTCCTTCTCTTGCCCCTTACCACCACCCCACCTGCATCTCATGGCCCAATCTTAAGCCAGTTTCTACACTTGATCTTAGCCAAAAGGCCAAGAAGCGATTAAGCCAGTTTCTAAGTCACACCTCCCTTAATGGGATGTGTTAAGGAGTCTCCAGAAAAGAGACCAAAGGCAGAAGAGTTCAGGCTACCTTTTTCTCTTCTACCCTTGTTACCATGTGGAGAGGTTTGTTTTGTTTTGTTTTTGCACAGACTGCTCAATTAAGCACCCTGCAGAAGAGATGCGTCTCATAGAACCTGCCTTGGCTCCCTGGTATCTTCCTTGAGGCTCTGGCCATACAAAGCCCGAGGGCACTGCCTTCTGCTTTCTTTGGGGCTCTGGGGCTACCTGACATTCTCTTTCCCTTTCTTCTTTCCTTCCCTCGCTTAGCTACCTTTTACTGTTTACCGTGCAGCAGCCCTATGCCATCCCCCTGGCAAATATTAGATCATTTATTCATAACAGTAATCCTTGTTATGCTTGTGATTAACATACGGATGATGGCTCATAAAGGCTGAGAAACCTGACCAAAGTTACACAACTGGAAATTGAGGAAGGCATTCATCTATTCAACAAATGTTGTTGGGTGCCCATCTTGTGCCAGGGTTTAAAGCCCCATCCAGAGTCATCTGGTCTAAACCTCAGGCCTCTGAGACCACTCCTGACCCAGCTTTCTAGATGTGGTAGCTGAAGCCACAATCCCTCCTGTAACCCGCACTTCCCCCACACTCTCCACAAGGCCAATCAGAATGTGTTCATCCCTGGCCTGGGGAGATCTCAGAGGGACAGCCACTTCCTTGGGTGGGTTGGGCCTTGGATTCCAGTTTCTGAACCTGGAATCAGATGCCAGTGCATAGGGTTTGGACTAGAAATATAAATAGGGGAGATAAATCCCCAGCTCCAAATAAAGTGTTTAATGGAGCCAGATATAACAAGTGGAAGGAAGGAGGAGAGGGAGGGTAATTAGGATTTATCCAGCGGCTCCTTTGTATCACATGCTGTTCAAGGCCCTTTCACTTATACCTCATTATTATCCCCATTGTTTTAGTTAAGGAACTAAAGCTCGGGGTTTAGTTTTAGTTTTTGGGGTCTGTTTTAGTTTTGCCCAAGGCCGTATTTTCCCACATGGCTCAGTGGTAAAGAATCTGCCTACAGTGCAGGAGACCCAGGTTCGATCCCTGGGTTGGGAAGATCCCCTGGAGAAAGGAAAGGCTACCCTCTCTAGTATTCTGACCTAGAGAATTCCATGGACTGAATAGGCCATGGGGTCACAAAGAGTCAGACACAACTTAGCGACTGAGCATGCATGCACGCATAGAACCAGTAAGTGATTCAGTTGTAAATGTGCCTGATTCAGAGCCTGTGCAGTTTCTTCTAACAGATCAAAATAATGCAGAAGTTGTGGCCAGGTCTCCTTCTCCAGTGCAGCCTGGTTACTAGAGGTCCCGGCTGATCAAGGAATGACACTCTAGATGCCAAGTTTCCTTCCTCACCGACCCCAGTCATGTCCTCTCATCCCCGGCCCCCACCTTTATCTGTTGCATTGCTCTGGAGGGATCAGAGGCGCTATGTAAGTATTCTGGCTAGGATGGAGGGGTGCGACTTCGGGGTGCAGCTAGGCAGACTTCCGCTCAGGATTTTAGGATCTGAGAGAAGAAGCCATACATCCTCCTGGGTCAGAGTTAAATTAAGAAGAGGCTGGGTCATGGCCACCAGTTCAGATAGCCCGAGCTGGGAGGCGAGATGACTGGGGACAGAGGCAGGTGGAGAAAACTAAGCAAGTTCCTTCCTCATCCTCCTACCTCCCTCATCCCCCTACCTCCCTCCATTGTCAACAAAGGTGATGTGGTTTCCCCTGTGGTCTGTTGCCCTAGACACCTGCAGTTCTGGGTACATGTGTGTATGTGTGTATGTGCCAGCCATGCCCTAGGGGGACACAGGGAGAAAGCAGTGGGACAGGATGGGGAGGGGCAGGAAGCCAGAGACAAGGGCTCCTCAACCCCCAGGTGAAGATGGCACAGTGATCGCGGAGGATGGCAGAGGCCACCCCCTGGGCTACTCCAGACCCCAGCCAGGAACCTCAGGAGAGCATCGTGGATGCAGGGCCCTGGGCTACGCTGGGAGCCACGGAACTTGAGTTCTAGGCCCAGTTCTGCCATTAACTTCCTGGGTCACACCTTTCTAAGTCTCAGTTTCCTGCTTTGTAAAATAGCAAGGCCTTGGTTTTCTACCTCACAGGCCTGGTCTGAGATTATACAAATAATATATGCAGAAGGCTGTACCACTGTGAGATTTAGAAATATTACAGTTGCCCCCTACACACACACACACACACACACACACAGAGTGCAGATAAAGAACAAAAATAAAAGCAAAAGCACAGTTTCTGCCCTCATTTTGCTCACACTGTGTTGAGGAAATAAAATAAACACATAAAATACTTGAAAGCCTCTTGTGCAGCCAACTATTTTAAAAATCTCACCACTGTGTGATCTCGGCCAAATCAAGACCTCTCTGGGCCTCAGGCTGGTTTCTCATCTATTAAATGAGAGAGCTGGTCTAAGTCATCTCTACTTACTTTTCTGAGTCTGAGGCAGTTTTCTGATTCTGTTATTTCGAATGTACATGGCAAAGAGAAAAGACCTGAGCAGATCACAGCCTAAATGAAGTCAGTGAGCTTTAAGCTGGGTTTTGAAGGAGCCCAGAAAAGTGAATCGGTGTGGGGGAAGGGGGCGACATTCCAGGTAGAGAGAATGGCATGTGCAAGGGCGAGGCAAGGAAGCAGAGGGTGGCCAACAGATTAGTGAGGCTCAGGAATGAGGTTGGTGAGGACTGAGGGAGCCTGGGGAGGAAGTGGGAACCAGAGGAGGAGGAGAAGGGTCAGTCCCCAGGGGTGAGGCTGCTGAGACTGAAAGTGGGCAGGAATATGGATGGGAAGATACTCTCCCAGCTCCTGAGGCTGGTGCCAAAGCCCATCCAGCCAAACTCCACCCAGGAGGGAGAGAAAGAAAGGTCCCCTGGCCAAGAGGCCCCACCTACAGGGACGGCCCATTCCTCCCTTCCTTTCTCTCCCAATTCTGCTCCAGCTGGGAGGTAAGAGAGCCCCCCCACCCCGCCAAGCCAGAGCCCTGTTAGTGCCATAGACAGACAGATGAGGGCATTGCCACATCCCTCCCCAACAATAATGCCAGCTGTGAAATAATAATAGAAAGTGTAATGTTGATGATCAAAATACTGAAATATCAGTCACCGTGTTTTGTAACAGAAACTAACAGAATGTTGGAAGTCAATTATTCTTCAAAAACAAACACATAAACAAGTTCCTCAAGAAAGAGATGAGATTTGTGGTCACCAGAGGCTTAGAGGCAGGGGGAATTGGAGAAAGGCAGTCAAATAGCAACCCACTCCAGTATTCTTGCTGGAGAAATCCTATGGACAGAGGAGACTGGCGGGTTACAGTCCTGGGGGGTCACAAAGAGTCGGGCACGGCTGAGCAACTGAGCACACACCTAGTCAAAAGGTGCAAACTTCCAGGAGTAAGATAAATAAGTATGAGGGATATAATGATCATGCACAACATGATAAATATAATTAGTACTGCTTTATATCCAGGAAATTGTTAAGAGAGTAAATCCTGAGTTCTCATCACAGGAAAAACTCTTTTTTTCTGTCTTTGGTTTTGTGTCTATATGAGTGTTCACTAAGCTTATTGTAATACATATTTCATGATGTATACAAATCAAATCATTATGCAGTATACCTTATACAGTGCTATATGTCAATTATATCTCCACGAGACTGAAAAAAATAGTAATTGATGATGATGATGATGAAATAAACTACCCATCCCTTGCCCTCTGATAAAACCCCACAGCACCAAAACCTCTTGTTATGGTTGTTCCATTTACTGGAATCTTTGCTCCTAAGAGCTGCAAGCAGTGTGTAAAACTATCCAATCTGTAGGATCTCCCAAACCTGACACTATATCAAAATCATGCAAGAGAACCTGTGAGTAGCAGATTCCTGGGCCCTCTCACAGTCTCTATCTTTTGGGGTGCTGGGGGTGGGGGGTACCTAGTAATCTGCCGTTCCCCAGGTAATTCTAAGGTTTGGTTAGGTTTGGGATGCTCTGATCTAATCAAACCACTCCTTTCTAGTTGAGGAAACCGAGGACCCAGTCTCCTTGCTGGCGGTGTCATGGTTAATCCGTGGTGGGGAGCAGGCAGAGAAGTCAGGCGTCCCAGCTTCTAGGTCAGTGCTCCTTCCCCAGCCTGCACCGCCCAGCCCCGGAGATGCCTGTGCCAGCAGAGATTATGGTCAGGGAGGCAGCCACTGGGCCATACCCTAATCATGAGCGAGAAGAAATTCGTCTGAGTTGCAAAATGCCTCTCTGCAGCCAGCTCACAATTACTCGCTCCAGTGGCCACTGCAGGGATGCTGCAGTCCACCCACTGGTGGGCTTGGGAGTTCAGCCTTGCTACATGGCCCAGCAGGGCCCTCTCTAGCACCAGTGACTCTATCGACTGGAGGGTAGGGTCCCACCTTGCTACCTATCTCGATGGTTCCTCTTGAGGGGCACTTACCTCTGATCCTGGAATCTCCAGGAAAGACCTTGAGGAGGTCCTGGCCTAAGAACACTCACCTCTCTTCCCCAGGAGTGTCTCTAGGGTGGGTTTGAACTAGGGTCCTGTGTGCAGTAGAAGAGCTTCAACGTAAGGGGAGGGTGGAAGGGGGTGAGGGTAAGTACACAGCGGGGTGAGTGGGAGTGTCCTTGCTACGACCTTGAAGTATCCACCCACCTGCGGCCATCATTACTACTCTTTTTCAATGAGGATAATTTCTTAGTTTTTGAGCATCTCCTCTGGCTCAGGTTCTTGGGCACAGAGGCAAAGGGAGCCACAGTCTTTACCCTTGGTGAATTCATCTCCCGGAGAGCAGGAGCAGGATGCAGCCAAAGAAAAGAACCTGGAATGGAGAAAACTGTCAGATTAGGGACTACACCACCAGCGCTGCAAAGGACGCTGGGTTCATGAGTCATGGGAGCTCCACCTTGGAAGGGCACTGATGGACCGTCAGGTCCTTGTGGGTGAGGGCAGTGGCTCTGCTCTGTCCTGCCCCCTCTGTGCCTGGAATGGTGATTCTAGAAGTCCCCACCCTGCTCTCACCTCCCTCATACCAGCTTGGCCTGAGTGGCAGGGGCAGGAGGGCACAGCAGGCATCGAGACAGCCGCTCTCGCCCGGGCAGACCCCGAGGCTGGGCCTCAGGCTTCTCTGAGCGCAGCTTTCAATGAACCATTTAACTAAAACCCAGAGAGGACCGGCTGAGGGAGCCTGTGTTGTCCTGTTGTTAAAACTGAGACTCTGGAGTCAGGCTGCTTGGGTGGAATTTCTTGGTTTTCTCTTCTGCAAACTGGGGTGTGAAGGGCCTGCCGTATTCGGATTGTTGCGAGAACTGGACCAGAAGTCGAAGTGTTCCGTGTGGAACCTGCCATCTACTGACTGTTAGGGATGAAGCCGGAGCTGACGTTAGTAATAGGAGACAGCGCTGTCCCTTCTGTCACTCGCAGTTGAACTTTTCCCCTACACAGGCAGTCTCAAAATGAGCACTGACCTAATTTATGCAAAAACATCCAAATGGGTCTTTCCTTGGCTGTCCATTCTGGGATCTGGAATGTGGAAGATGAGAACATTTGGGGGACCTTCCCCCCTACACCCCCCACCCCTACTCAGGTGTTGTTGACTCAGAGCTGAGGAGGGGCCGGACCCTGAACCAGGCGGCAGGGAATGCACACACCACCTGAAGAGAGGCCCTTGCCTGCCCTCCCCCTTGTCCTGGCACTGCACATCTGCAGTGGGCTGAGCATCTGGCTGCATCCCTGGGGCAATGGCCACAGCTGCTGACTTTTGAGATCCAGCTCCTCATTCGGGGCCTGGGGGCTATAAATAACCAGCTGAGAGGGCCAGGGGGAGGAGGTTGACCTTTGTGGGGGGGCGGGAGCGGCTGGCGACTGACTTCCCCCACCTCCTTGGGTCCAGAGCCAGAGTTTTAGCAAAACAGGAAGAGGCAGCAGCAGCTGCTGGGAAAGTAGGAGTGGCTCCCCTCCCCCCCATTTGCCTGGGGCCTGCGGATCCCAGCCAGGACCTGGGAGAGGTGGCGTCCTCCCGGCTAGGGGGGGCGGGAGCTGCCGGTGCCCTCCTGTGGCAAGACTGGGTCCCGGCAACGGGCGGATGAGCCAGAGCAGGGCAGCCCAGTGAGCTGTGCCTGCCCCCCCCAACTCCCCCCGCACCCCCCAGCCACCTCCTGTTCCCTTTCTCTTCTTCTGTCACTGGGACAAGAGGAAGGATAGGCATTAGAAATGGAACATAGCCCATGTCTGCAGCCCAGCTGGTGTATCTAGAGGCCCACCTTCCTCTCTCATCCCATCCCACCCACACGTGGGCTGAGCCAAAGCCCCATTGGGTGGGTGGGAGGATGCTTCTGGCTCTTGGAGAAGGGTCTGGCCCCAGTGGAATGATGGAGAACTTCCTCAAGAACTCTTGAGGTGGGGAGAGATCCAAAACTCTGGGGGACTATTCTCTTAGAGTAACTTGTCCACAGGAACAATTTCTGTAGAATTGCGCGCCAGCTCAGAAGCTTCGTGAAATCCAGGAGAGAAGTTGTTGCCCAGGAAATGTTGCTTTGCTCTGCCTTGCCTGGGGGAGACTCACCACTGCCTGGTTGGTGACATCTGGTTGGACTTCAGCTGGCCTGCATCTCCAGTGGGTCTCTATCTGCATCTGCCATGACCCCTCAATGGAGCCACTCAGCCTAGAGCCTGGAGTTTTGCCTGCTGGGAGGGGCTAGACCAGCATTGCCCAATAGAAATAGAATGGGAACCATATTTGTAACTTTGTCTTAAAAAGAAATAGTAAAAATACATTGGTGAAGTTCATTTTAATAGTATATTTTTTTCACCTAATATATGTAAAAAAATCATTTAAGCATGCAGTCAAAGCACAAAATTGTTAAAGAGACCATTTTACATGCTTTTTTCATACTAAATCCTTGAAATCCAGTGTATATTTTACTTGCAGTACATTGTAGCCGTGTTCTAGGTGCTCAGTAGCACTGGTGCCTAGCTACTCTATCAAACTGCATGTGTTTAGAGGAGATGGTAGCTTAACCTCTCCTTCAGCCTTTCTCGTCCCTTGCTGGGGAAGAGACTCAGGAAGTGAAAGGGAAGGCCAGCGAGGTCAATGTCCAGGGCTCATTTACTGTCGAAGGACGGCATCCCACCTTGGCCTTCAGGCACCCATCTCTAGACCTAGGTCCAGCCCTAGTTTACAGGGAAGCAGGGAGACTGAGCCACGGTGGGCCACCTTCCTAGACAGAAGTCTGCCTCCTCCTCCGCCCAGTCCTGGTCCTCTAAGCTGAAGACGGAATCTCATTGGTAGAATCTCATTTCCTCTTCAGGTGTCTTAGCCTCTGTGTTCTTCTTTCTCCTTCCAAACATCACCCGAAGGTCTTCAGGAAGCCGAGTTAGGGGATATGGAGTGAGAAGCAAATCTGGAGTGGAAAGCAGAGTCAAGCTGTGGACATGTGGACTGAGGTGCTGGTGGGGCAGTCCAGGGAAACTTAAGTGAACAGTTGGCCTCCAGAGCTCAGAAGAGAAGGGAAGGACAAATAAAGACCTGGGATCACTGGTGAGAGTGGAGAGGGAAAGGTCAGAGACTTAAAAGAACAAGAGGAAGTGCCATGTCTGAGTCCAAAATGGGGAGAAGGTCACAAATGAGAGGTGTCCACTCGGTTGCCACGGACGATGCTTTAAAATCCTCTAGAGAGAGCTCACACAAATTGGTATTAAACTCTGAAACAGGGGTGGACTAAAACTCAAAGCACAGAGAAGATTTTTCAAGGAAAGGTGAAACATCGCAAGTTAGCAAACGCGGGGGAACATTCAACCTGCTTGTTGTCTAAGTGATGCCAATTAAAACAAGTTGAAGGCAGGCACCATTTTCAAGCATTGGTGAGGTGGTGAAATGTACATGTTGTGCTTGGTGGTGTAACTGCTTTTTGAAATCAATTTGGCAATATATAGTAAGAGCTAGAAGATGTTTTTACCTTTTGGCTCAATAACCCCACCCAAAATACCCTAAAACCAAAATTCAAGGTGGGGCGAGTGGAATATGTGCATAGTAATGTTCATCACCACATTCTTTACCATATGGAAAATGAGAAACAATCTGAACACCTACAGTTGGAAAATTGCGAAGCAAATTATATTTCCACTTAATAGAAAATTATAAAGCTGCTAAAAAGATGTTTTGAATGTGATATAGCATGGCAACAGAATACAGATTTCCCCACGCCCGGTGGTGGTGACTGTGTTTAAAGAAACCCAATGTAAGCACAGAGGAAAAGATTGAGAGGAGATATGAGTGACAGGTAATGATTGCGTCACGTGGTATAAAGGCACACAATTTTCTAGTCTTTTTTTTTTTTGGTTGTGCCACATGGTATGTGGGATCTTAGCTCCCCAGCCAGGCTCAAACTTGCATTCCCTGCATTAAGAGCAAGAAATCTTAACCACTGGACCTCCAAGGAAGTCCCTCTAGTTGTTTAAGGACTGTCAATGTCATGAAACGCTGTGGAGACTGGGGTTGAGGGTTGACCACTAGCTTCCACTGGGCTACAGGGAGGGCCCTGATGACCGGAGGGAGGTGCTCAATTCATTCCTCCCGTGCGTATACTAACTGGACCATCCATCTGCCAGACCATCACTGCAGGCTCTGTGCACTGAAGTTTCCTGGAGCTCCGCTGGCTCTCAAGTCCATGCTGGGGGCAAGACTTTGTGCTGGGGCTGGAAAAGTGTTAGTTGCTCAGTCGTGTCTGACTCTTTGTGACCCCATGGACTCCAGGCTCTCCAGGCGCCTCTGTCCATGGGATTTTCCAGGCAAGAATACTGGAGTGGGTTGCCATTCCTTTTTTCAGGCGATCTTCCTGACCCAGGGATCGAACCTGGGTCTCCCACATTGTAGGCAGATTCTTTACTGTCCGAGCCCCTGCAAGTGCTAGTTGCTCAGTCGTGTCCAGCTCTTTGCAATTCCCTGGACTGTAGCCCGCCAGCCTCTTCTGTCCATGGGATTCTCCAGGCAAGAATACTAGGGTGGGCTGCCGTTTCCTTCTCCAGGGGGATCTTCCTGACCCAGGGATCAAACCGGAGTCTCCTGCATGGCAAGCAGAGTTTTTACCGTCTGAGCCACCAGCAAAGCCCCTGAGCCCCTGGAGGGACGGCCCAAAGAGGATAGACACGGGGGAAGCGAACAGTGTGTGGGGGTAGCAGAGGCCCCAGAGAGGTTAGGGGAGGGTTGGGGGATCACCAAGGAGCTTAGGGTGTGTGAGGGCTGCTCTGCCCTGGGGGAGCGGTTGGCAGGCTGTGGTCGGCCACCTGCTGTTTCATATCATCCTGAAGGTGACAAGAGACGTGAGTGGGCCATCACCTCCACCACCCCCCGACAGGAACTCTACCTGGGCCCCCACCTACAAGCACCATCCGGCCTGGGCAGCCTCCTGCTCCTCCCCCCTCAGCTCTCTTCCGACAATGCACACTGGGGCCTTGAAATAACATATCTTTATTTATGCCATCATTTCCACATAATTTGCCTATGATTCATCTGTTGTCAAGAGGCATTAAAACCTCCAGCCTCAGCTCCCAGGCACCCACCAATCCCCATCCCACTCTCTCCTGGGACCCACCCTGCCCCTTCCCACAATTTCTTGTCCAGCTCTCACCCAACCCCAGCAGCCCCCTTCACAGCACCTCTTCCTCCACAAGCGCTGCCCCCCCAAGCTCCTCCCCACTGGGCTTTTTTTGGGGAGTGGGAGGCAGGGGCTGGGACTCTCCATCCTCTCCCCCAGCCCAGACTCTGGCCTGAGGCAGGCCCTGCTGAGACTCCAGATGAACTAACGTGAGCAGGAAAAGGGAAGAAGCTTCTCCTGGCCCAGAAGCAGGGAGCTACAGAACCCTTCTGCCACCCCCACCCTCTACTTCCTCAGGCTGGACTTTCCTGGTATCTCAAGGCTTGTCCCTGAGTCCCTCCTTCCCCTTTATTCTGCTCTGACAGGGCACAGGGGTGTAGAGTTTCCACAGTGTGTGTGTGTGTGTGTGTGTGTGCACATGTGTTGGGGGGTAGGAATAGGAAGGGTAGTCTCACACCTTCATTAATTACCTAGTAAGGATTTAAGGCTTTGGGGACCCCTCCCCAACCCTCCCCGGGGAAATGTAAGTGAGTCAGGGAGCCGCAAAGTGGGGGAGGCAGG